ATTATGTGCCGTGGAGTCGGCACATATATATGTGTGTATATATATATATATATATTGTTGTTGTTAAGTGCTGTCGAGTCTGTTGCAACCCTGTATAGGGTTTCTGAGGAGCAGCTGGTGAGCTTGAATCACCAAGCTTGCAGTTTAAATGGCTTTGTAGTCTGGTGCATTAACCCACAGTGCCACACCAGGACTCCATACATACATATATATTTTGACTACTATAGCTGATTTGGACTAAGATTCTAGCTTTTTTACTCAATGCTTTTGTATTATAAGTGCAAATGTCAATACAGTAAAAATGGAAATCAACATCTTAGTAATATTTTATCTTTGAGTTTCACTCTGAGCAATGTTTCGCTATATCTTTCACTCTGAGCGATGTTTCGCTATATCTTTCACTCTGAGCGATGTTTCGCTGTATCTTTAGGGTCTTGGTAGTCATGATATCACTTTCATTTGGTTCTAAGCAGTCTTTTAATTTTACTTTTGAATCACTGGTTTTTTAGTAATCTTATTTAGTTTCCATTAATCTTTCCTTAATCTTATATTGGAAGCATAATGACTTCATACAATAAGCACTGGACTGTGAACCACAAGGTCTGTGGTTCAAACCCACCAGTCTGTCCATGGAAGAATGATGAGGCTTTCTGCTCCCATGAAGACTTATCCTTGAAAACTCTATATAGGATCACTATGAGTCAGCACTGACTCGATGGCATTTAACAACATTCTTCTCATTGATTTTTTGCTTCACTCTATTATGGCTAGAAAAGATACTTTGTATGTTTTTAATCTTTTAAAATTTAATGAAATTTTCTGTCATGAAAGAGTCTATTTGGGGCACATGTTCATTGGAGTACAATGTGTACTAAAAATTATGTTTTGTAAAGAAAGAAAAAAAAAAAAAATCCAAGGCTGACCAACAAGTCTAACTCAGGATTTAGTCAACAGCAAAGCATGTTAAGGTCTATGTATTTTCAGATGTTTTAAACAACACTCCAACTCATTGTAACCATCACCATCACTAACATTCAACACCATCAGCAGTATCATTATCTTCTCTTCTGTGTGTTCGCAACACTTGAAATCTCTTTAATAAGATACAAAGCCCTTTAGTCTACTCTATGACCTGAATACTTTTTTAAAAGAAAGAAAGAAAATCCTTGAGAAAGGCAATATTTTAGTTTCAATTTTCATTGTTACATAAAACTATTAGATACCTTTATAAAAGTATATTTTATGAGAGAGGAAAACTCTGTAGGAAAGTGATAGAGAAAAGATATATAAAAGCCTGGATGAAAGCACAGAATACAAACTTCTTGCTTCTTATTTTGCCAAGGCCCAATTGTATTATGCGATGGAAAACAAATATAGGTTTTCATAGGCTAAAGGAATAGTCTAGTCAGGTTTATCAAACTATGACAAAGCAAGAAAAAAATCTCAAGATGTGGTATTCAAACTATCTGTATTTGATTTTGTTTGCTTGGTCTCTAACAAATGCAAAATCACTCACTATGTGCCAGAAACTTTATATTGGTTATTTCATTTAATTCTCATAGCAAGTCTGTGAGATAGTTGCCATTATTTTTTTTTTTCATTTTACAGAGAAATTGGGAGTGTAACTTAGTCTAACAATACAGTATGTAGATTTAGCCACTACCTCTCAGACTGCTGAGTTAGAATTGTCTGAAGTGCCCCTCAAGACATTTTGATTTAGAAACTTAGAGTAAACCTGGAATCTGCCACATTTAACAAACCATTGGGTGATGTTTTTGTACACTAAGGGTTAAGAATCACCACTAATTCTAGTGCTAAATATAAAATCCATTTTAGTAGCTGCCTAACCTCAAATAATCCACATAGGGTAACTTCTTAAAACCTTTCTCCTTGCCCTCCTGGTCTACACATTGGAGATCACAAACCTGTTCACTAAAAAAACAAAACAAAAAAATGTTTCTCAAGCTTTAGAAAAGTGGAATATTTTTTCATATTGTATTTTTGCACTTAAAGACTCTTCTCCAATCTGCTTGATGCTAAGAACACCTTAATTTTGTTTTCCTATTGGTTAGCCTTTATCTGATAGTGTCACCTAAGGGAACATAATATTTGGTACATCTTCCAACAATATATACAATGTTGATTTCTGAATAGTTGTTCAGACTTGATGTGTCTATAAAAGAGTTTAAATGGTTATGATATATATTTAATCCACTATAACTGATAAAGAAAATACTCTTTTATAGATCCGTGAAATAAACCACTGGTATGTAGCCAGTATGTAGTCTACTTATATAAGCCATCCTATTCTTTGGTATGATGTTGTCCTTGTTGTTAAGTGCCATCGAATTGGTTCTGACTCATAGTGGCCCTGTATAGGTTTCTGAGGCTGTAAATCATTGTAGAACCAGGATTTCTCATCTTTCTGCCATGTAGTACCTGTGGGCTCCAACCACCAATCTTGTGGTTTGCAGTCCAGTGCTTATCTCACAAAGCCACCACACTCCCATCCTTGTATCTGCAATACAAGGCCTCCTTAAAAAAAAAAAAAAGTATGTAGGTCTCTAGTTTTTTGGTGTTTTTGTAGTCTTCTTTGAAATTATATATTCTTTACCTCCTTGCTAAATCACTGTTTAACTATTAAGTGCATGGCTGACACTGGATAAAGATCAGTTTGTCTAAAATGTTATGTTTATTTTAGAGAGTTAAATGATGAAGAAAGTATATATTGAAGAGATATATGAACTACAGAACTGTACAAACTTTTATCATTATCTTTATTTAACTTCTTTGTGTCTCAATTATTTCACCAATAAAAGGAAGGAATGGGCATTTGTGAAATAATGAGCTGTATAAGCAAAACATTGGAGAATTCTCTGCTAGCAAATGGTAGTTAACAATGTCGAGAGTACAGCATCCACTCATGCACCTCCAAGGAACCCATGGAGTTCTAAATGTGAAGTAGCCATGATATAGCTCTATCTTGCACTCTTTCATTATCTCTATAGCTAAAATTGTATGCTATAAGAAGACTAAATTATATATTTAGATTTTGTAGTAATGTCAGATTTTCATTTTCTTCTCATAAATCCTATTGGCATCCTTGACTCAGTCCACTCAGACAAGTCAGATCCACTCAGCTTTTCTCATATAAACTGAATTCTTAAACCCATCACATAGTTGTCTAATCTGAAGCATCTGACTAACAACTCTTCCAAGCCAACCTCCATTGAGCACACTTTAAAAAATAGTTCCATACAATAAAGCAAAGGATTATGGCAGGAGGAGCAAGTCCCAGGGACAAAGAAGACCCCTTGTGGAAAAAAAATCTAAGAATTAAGGTACTTTGGAGTAGAATTAAATAAGGACCTGTGACCAGAAGTGACAGTGGAAATGTTCTTCCAGAAAAAACCTCAAAACTAGAATTTAAAATAGAAGAATTCTTGGGAAGATGAAAAACTTAAATAAAATAGCTCAAATATTTGAGAACGGGTAATAAAGAAACAGATAATTGTGGTATACACATTATTAATGAACAGTAATGCATACATCAATATGCGAATCCTGTGTCTAGAAACATTTTGGAAAAATAGTTCAAGTTGAATGAAAGAGTCTGAAACCTTCCCACTGTACCTGAAAAATTTGCTGCTCTCTTCAGAGCTTCTTGAAGATTCAGGTTCTGTTGTTGAAGTTCCATTTGCTTCTTGGATTTCTCATCCAGCTTGTCAGCAAGCGTTTTTATCATATCCTTGAGTTCCTTTTGTGACTCTTGGGAAGCTTCTTCTGCCTGCTGCTGAGCTAACATTTGTCCCTCCAGTATATTTTCCTGGTGAGTAATGTTTGCTTGCTGCTGCTTTAGAAGATCAGACACCTGGGATACTAAAGCATAGAGAAGTCATAACTCTGTTCCCAATCTTCAATAAACCCCTCACTGAATTTTGTTAAACTATTAGAAAATAATCATTTTGGCAACGTATCGGCTGCTTGGAAGGGGACCCAATTTTCATCAGAAATTATTAATTGTAATCTATTTCATATTCCTCCCATATTTTTTTCTTTCCATATTTTTAGTGTCAATAACTGAGACAGAGTTTTAAACAAATCACCAGAATTTAAACAAATTACCAGGGTTTTACTTTTATTAAGTTATATATAAGTTAAAAGTAATAAGAATATGCACAGTAGTATATAAATGAAATACCAGGGGTATAAATGAAATACAGATAGTATAAAATATGCAGATGTCAACCAGACTAAGAGACGATTAGTTAGCCTTGATGTTAGTTATTTATTTTCTCTTCATGTCTGTAGTACCTTGAAATTACTTGATAGGGCTTTTCTATCCAAAGTCTTCTTAATTCCCACCAAGTGATTGGGTAGGATCATGCAAATAAGGTGCAAAGCTGGGATTAGTTCATTTTGCTTTCTCATTGTTGTTGTTAAGTGCCCTTGAGTCTGTTCTGACTCATAGTGACCCTGTATAAACATTCCAAAGAGCAGCTGGTGGGTTTGAACTGCCTATCTTGTGGTTCACTGCCCAGTGCTGATCACAGTGCCACACCAGAAGTCCAAAGCTCTGCTTAAAAGGAGCCATCTAACTAAGCTTAAAAAGAGCCATCACAAAAACAAAGACAGAAGATCCCAGGACCATCAAGAAGGAAGAGAATGATTGGAGCATGAGACGACAAGCGGTGATGGCAAGAGATGACAGCTGAGATAACAGTGGAGATGAAGGAGATGATGGCAAGAGACAACAGCAGAGGCAGTGACATGTAGAGACAGAACAGCTTCCACCACTAGGCCCATGAACTGGGTGCCAACAGGCAGGAGACTTGCTTACAGAATATGCCCTTCAGGTATTCACATACAACCAGACTAAAAGAGCTTTGTTATCACTTTCCCAAACAGGGCAGAGGCCAAGGGTCCATATGTCTGAGAGACTGAAGACAAGAATGAGGCCTGCCTGCAGTATAGCAGACAAGAGGCTTTCCTGACTGGAGGACTGCCGAGTTGTTCCTGATCCTAAGTTGTACGCTGTTCATTTCCTTAGTAAACCCCATAATCATGATATTGTTATGAATTCTGTGTGGCCATAGCAACGGATTATTGAACCCAGATGTGAAGCAGAGAGTGCTGAGGGAGGAGTGTTTGGTGTCAGAATGGGGTGAAGAAGGTTAAAGTTTGGAAACATGTCTCACCTCTGCTTCATAGGAATCAGCCTTGAGCTTATTTTTAATTTGATTCTCTTTCCCACTTGTGAAGTCAGGGAAAGTCAGATACAGTTCCCATGTGGTCTTTCCAATGTCTTAAATCCTCTACCATCTTTCCCCTCATTCTTTCTACCATTCCAGGCTTCCTAATTTCATTTAAGAACTGTGACATTTACCCCTTGTTTAAGACAGAAGCCCACACAGAATTGTAAGTAGATATATCCAAGAGTAAAATCACCTTTTTTTTTTTTTTTTTTTTTTGCCACAGCATACTTTAGGAAGGGTGGAGATGAAGCAAAAGTTGTGCAATCAAGCAGGCAAAGGATGTTTAGAGACTTATAGTTCAGTTTTAGAAATATGATGATTTAGTATAAAGCAGATCCCTCATTTGAAGGCTGGTTGTAAGCTGGTTGTAAAGTTATCCAGGCCTCAGAGCAACACTATTTCAATCAACACTATTGAAACACGGCCTGATTCCAGTCATCTGGAAAGGTTCTATATGCTTACATATTAAAGAATATAATAAATAAATAAAGCTCTGTGACCTTGATCAATAACTGAAAAGTTAACTAGTACTTCCAAGGCTATCCCTGGTCCTTTAACTGCAGTTTACGTACACAGGAAGAGAAGGCTGACAGGTACCAGTCTTCTAATCAACCTGGTCTTTCTTTTCATTTTTTCTTTCCTTCTCAGTGTCCCCTCTTTCCTAAATGACCATATGATAAGTTTGAAGTGCATTTTTTTTAAAGGTTTTATTTATTGAGTAAGATCCTGTTTGGGTTCTAATTTTTAAATTGTCTTTAAACCTCTGGCTCCAAACTCAGCATTTTGAGCTTAAAACTCAATGAAGTTTCTTTTACTTTTGAATTTCCAGGTGATTTTGTGGATTTGCAGCTTCAGACTATTTTTTTTCCCCATCATCCCACCATTCACAATCTCCATGACTTTATTCATTTTAGAAAAGAGAACAAAATACCATTCATCTTCCTACTCATTCTAAAAAATATTTTGCTTAAAATGTATCTAAGTCAAGGTTGTGTTACAGTTATTATGAAAGCAACATATAAACAATGTTTAAATAAAAAAAGAAGCCCTCTGTCCCTGCCCCTCCACCCTTGTTTCCCAGTTTCAGCACTTACATTGTAGTCTTTGTATTATAATGGTCACCAGGAGTCCCAGACAAAGGATGCCTAGAGTCACAGTAGCAGGGCACCACCAGGGAGAAGAAAGAAAATGGGGACCTAGAATCATAGAAAATCAATCAGAAAGGGAGCAAAGAAAGAGAAGAATTATTTCATCTATTAAATCAAACAATTCTTTGTATCCTGTTTGTACCTGGTGCTTTGCAATCATTATTTTAAGCCCTTCCAGTGGCTCTATGGACTCCTGGTGTGGTGCTGTGGATCAGCACTGGACTGTGAACCACAAAGTCTGCAGTTCAAACCCTCCAGCTGCTCTTCGGAAACGCTGTACCTGGTCGCTATGAGTTGGAACTGACTGAACCTGGACAGCACTTAACAACAACAACAGTGGCTCTGTAAATAATGTATTATCTTCATTTATAGGTCAAAAAATATGGACAATTAAAGACTTTATGTAATTTGGCCCTTACCACACACAAACTCAGTAAACTTAAGAACTAGAATTCAATACCTGACTCTAAATATCTAGATTTAAAGCAAATACTTGTCTAGTCTTCTTATAGTCACTACTCAGGAAACTCCCGATCGAATTTGACTGAGTCAAACTCATCCATGGGCAGAGAGCCAGATAACTTCAAAATCTACCACATGCATATTAGTCTGCACAAATGTCAGGCAAATAAACTTTAATCAGTTAATCAGCCAAGATTGCCTCAAAGAATTCAGTACATAATTTTATACTGTTCAATATTTATTCCACTAAAATTACATTTTGAAATTGGAGTTAGGCATGAAACCTCAATATTCATTTGGGTCATTTTACATCATTTCCAACATTCATACTAACTGTGGTCTTAATGTTGCAAAAGAAAAAGTTACCATAACAATAAAAACAACTAAATCATATAACTCACAAGTATATAACTATCTAATTACGTATTGGAGTCCTAGTGTGGCACTGCAGAATAAGCAATGGACTGCTAACTGCAAGACCGGGGATTCACATCCATCAATGGCTCCTTGGAAACCCCATATAGGGTGCTATGAGTTGGAACTGACTCAGCGGTACTTAACAACAACAACAACAACAATTACATATTAAGAACCCTGATTGTTCATTAGTTAAGCCTTGGCTGCTAGCCAAAGTGTAAGAGGTTTATACCCATCTGCCACTCTGTGGAAGAAAGATGTTGCAGTCTTCTTCCATAAAGATTTATAACCTTGAAAACTACAGGGTATTCCTATTCTATCCTATAGGATCTCTATGAGAAGGAAACAACCTGACAGCAATGGGTAAATCATGGTTTCCATGAAAAGAATATGCATATGTCACAGGCTCAGCAGGGAAATATCCTATGCAATATATTTGTACTGCTCACCTTGTGAGGTTAAAAACAAAACAAAACAAAACAAAACGGGTATTGATTTTATATTCTCTGGATTCCTGGTATGGCGTGGTGGGTTAATGCATCAGACTGCAAAGCCATTTGAATTTCAAGGTCAGTGGTTTAAGTTTACCAGCTGGAAACCATATACAGGATCTTTATGGGTCAGAACCAACTCGACAGCACTTAACAACAACAACCACATGGCACTGTAGAATCTGCACTGGATTTCAAACCATAAGGTTAGCAGTTCAAACCCACCAGCTGCTCCTAGAAAATCCTATGCAGGGTTGCTATTAGTAAACAACTCGACAGCACTTAACAACAATAACAATATGCAAATGAAAGCAGCTCTGGTGGCACAGTGAGTTATGCATCAGGCTGCTAATCTCAAGGTCAGCAGTTCAAATCCACTAGCTGCTCCATGGGAGAAAGATAAGACTGTCTGCGTCCATAAAAATTTAGTCTTAGGAACCCTATGAAGCAGTTCTACTCTGTCCTAAAGGTCGCTATTAGTAGGAACACTTGATGACACTGTTTTTTGGGGGGAGTGGGGTGGTGATTTAATGCAAATAGGAAACTGAAAGGTTTAGTAAATTGCCTATGATCACATAGATGCTAAAACCCATATAAACATCTTTAATTTAATTGTCAATGGCTAGGTAATAATTTGAAAAATTGCATCACAAAACTTACAGTATGAATCAAAATCAAATGAATGGTAAAATATATTTCTGGAATTTTCAACAAAATGGTGTCAAAAGCACAGTATTATTGTATCACACTACAAATGATTACAATCCAAGTGAAATGTCTACAGGAAGGAATATGAGTCATTCACCAAACCTATAAATAGTTATTAAAACTCTAGAGTGAGCCAAGTTGGCAGAGAAGTCGAAGACAGCTGTGTCTCTTGCAATAATTGCCTAATTTTCGCCTGGGGTAAACATCCCTGTGTAAATCTTTGAAGTAACAATTTCCTTCTTGGCAGTATTCATCCCATATTATAGGATGGCAAGTATACCTATCACTCTTGCTTAATGAAATTTCTGAATTTTTAGAAAAAAGATCACAGGACCCATATCTGTGACAGGAAGGCCCATGCTGCATTTTCTAAAGGTCTCCTTTTGTCCTTGCTCCTTGATAGACATAGTCAATGAATCCAACTTCTCTCCGCCATTGATATTTTTCTAATGAGAAAACAATTAGATCCTTTGCAGTAGATACCAACTGGGGTTATGAGAGAAGAATGAATTTCATAAATGAAGTAAAAGTCAAATACTTAATATTTACTCTATGAATAAACAACCAAATGATAAGTAAATGGGTATTATTAACTTACAGCCCTAGAAATACTGGTACTGGTTTCAAACCAAATCACTTAACATCAACTCAAATCTTTAAAAAAAACTGTCTTGTAGCATGAGCTAGAATTCCTCTATCCATATTCCTGACACTATTTTACTGTCTGCCCTTCCTTATGTTTTCTTCCTTTCTCTCTTTGTGTGTGTGTGTGTGTTATGTGCCGTGGAGTCAGTTCTGTCTCATAGCAACCCTGTACAGGGTTTCCGAGGCTGTAAATCTTTACAGGAGCAGAAAGCCTCATCTTTTTCAGGCGGAACAGCTGGTAGTTTCAAGCTGCTGACCGTGAGATTAGCAGCCCGATTTGTAACCACTACACTACCAGAGCTCCTTTCTATAAGAATGGCTATAAAATAATAGTCAATTTATCCATATTGTTTGTGGAATTGGGATTGTCTATTAATTTATGTTAAACAACTTAAGATGCTATGTATGTCAAACAGAAATATTTTTTTTTTCAAATAAGTGGTATACAATAAAATATAAATGTTGCTAAACCCTGCTGAATGTCATTTAATCTGCTTTTGATAAATAGAAGGTATGTCAGGGTTTTTCAATGACTTAAGGACATGCTTTTAAAAATTATCACTGCACACACTGACTAGACACAAGTTTTCTTGAATCTCCTGGTGGATTGGATTATGGATAAATGGAAGTTTGCAGTACAGTTCTAGTTCTGCCAGGTACTAGCTGCATGCAATTGAATACTCAATCTTCCTAACCCCCAGTTTGTCTTTGTGAAAAGGTAGATAACAATAATACTAACCTTAAAGCATTATTGTGGAGATTCAACAAGGTGATTGTGAAGATTCAGAGAGAAAATTCATGTAAAATAAGTAGTACAGGACATACCAATATCAAAAGCCACTAACATCAAGTTGATACCTTCATAGCTACCCTCTTGCACAGAATCAAACTGCTACATAGGTTTCAAAGGGTTGTAAATCTTTACGGGAGCATTCTGTCACAGCTTTCACCCACAGAGCTGCTGGTGGGCTAAGAATCAAGCACTTAATCACTGTGCCACAAGACCTCCTTAGCAAAGAACATATCGTATAGCAAATTCTCAATAAAAGTTAGCCATCACCATCTGCTATATACAAGGTTCATTCATTCATCATCATCATTGGCATCATAATCATCATCATTATATTTTATTTAGTTTTTAAAGTAAATGGTATCCTATAACATTTTCCCATCCTCAGGTCTTTGGTTTTTTAATCTCATTCTTGAATGAATTTATATTTTTGAGCTATAGCTAGAATTCTGCTGCTATACACATTTACGTACCCCTCGTACCTCTAGCTTTCCCTGCATTTAGCTTCTGATCAGGTTGGTCCTTCATAGTCTTGATTTTGAGGTCGTCACAATTCATTTCCAAGCTCATGCCAAGATGGAGAAAGTGAAGCAGTCCAGGAGTTCAGCACAATAAAAATGTGTGATATGAGCTTCTGCCGGAGTATTTAAGTAGCTACTGTTATCTAATAGAAGAATGACTCAATCATTGGTAGGAGGAAGGGGAGGATTTGCTTCATATTGGGAAGTTGGCTGACGCAAATTGTTGGGTATGTCTGTTGCAGGTGGAGAAAGTGGCGATTCTAAGTGTTTCAGAATATTTCACTATGTCATTTGTGAAAGAGAAATTTTACATTTATGAGCATTAGAAGTTGAACAGACTTATACCCACTTTTCAGATAAAGAAAGTACAATTCAAAGAGAGAAAATCACACTTAAATATGTGGAAGAGTTTTCATTAGGAACAATCTACTTGACTCCAGTAGTGTTTATTTGTTTGTTTGTTGCTTGGTTGGCTGGTTGGTTGGTTTCTCTATAGCAGACTGTCTTTATATGGTGTCTTTCATAAATCACATGTTTTACTTTTGAATTTTAATTGTTTTAATCAGCAGTAGACTTAGGCATTTTTTGGTGAATCATATATGACTCCCATATACAGCCATGATGCTCTGAGTACTTTTATATCTTAATTGGAGGTACTGTCGGACAATGCGCTGGACTGCAAAGTCAGTTTGAACTGCAAGGTCAGCAGTTTAACTTCACCAGGCACTCCCCGGAAACCCTATACAAGGTCGCTATGGGTTGGAACTGACTCAAGGGCACTTTACCACAATAATAACATACAGCACAATGGTTAAGTGCTTAGCTGCCGTAGAATTGATTCCTGTTCATAGTAACCGGATCGTACAGAGTGTTGTTGTTGTTAAGTACTGTTGAGTCAGTTCTGACTCATAGCAATCCTGTACAGGGTTCCCAAGGAGTGGCTGATTGGCTTGAACTGTCAACCTTACAGTCAGTGCTTATCCTACAGTGCCAAATCAGGATAGAGTAGAACTGCCCTAATGTGTTTGCAAAATTGTAATCTTTATGGAAGCAGACGGCCACATGTTCCTCCCATGAAGTGGCTGTGGATTCAAACCCTCAACCTTTCAGTTTGCAGCCAAGTGCTTAACAATTGGTCTGCCATTGAAGCTCTTTCCATATATTATAGCTAGGAAACACTATGGAAAAGTCTACTCTGTCATATAGAGTCACTATGAGTTGAAATTGACCCTACTGTATACAAGAACAACAATATGTCCTATAGGGCAGTATAATAATTGATTCAGTGATTACTTTGGAGCCAGATAGAGCTAGTTCCAGATTTTCTCTTTGCCATTCTCTTAGTTTATAATCTTGGTGAGGCACTTAACATTTTGGACCTGTGTCTCTGTCTCTAAATTGGGGATACTGTCCACTTGATAATGTTTCTAGAGGGATTCAAAGATACTGGGTGTAAATTTATAAATATCATGCCTGAAATATGTTAATAACTTAATGAATAATCACCATTGCTATCATATTCATTAATATGGTAGTAATATGTAGCAATATTCAACACATTTAAATTGCCCAGAAATAAGGAATAACCCATACTTAACTTGAATCAGAAGTGCTTCTCTTGTATTGCTTCCCTATAAATATACCAGTATGTATTCACTGATCAAATCCTCATTTATTTTCCATTTGCAAACATCATACATTGTATTTAAAAACAACAACAACAGCACACATTTCATTGTAATTGCTTGTTCATTTGTTTTAATCCTTAAGTGCTAGAGACAACTTTTGAAGCATTATCTAATATATTCTTTAAATTAATCAAGGAAAAGTAAGATGGAAGAGCTGAAAAAAGATTTAAAAAAAAAAATCTAAGTAACTGATGAAAAATCAAACAGTGTGTCCTGGTGGTGCACTGGTTAAGTGCTTAACTGCTAACAGAAATGTCTGAAGTTGAAACCCACCAGTCCCTTCAGAAAAGAGATGGCAGTATGCTGCTACAAAGATTTACAGACTTGGTAATCCTATTGGGAAGTTCTGCCTGTCCTGTGGAGTCCTGGTATGGTACTGTAGGATCAATACTAGACTGTAAGGTCATATTGAACCACAAGATCAGTGGTTGAGTCTACTCTACTTCAGGTTTCCAAGGTTATACATCTTTTCAGAAGCAGACTGACACAACTTTCTCCCACAGAGCAGTGGCTGGTAGATTCAAACAGCCAACTTTTTGGCTAGTAACAGAGTACTTTAACCATAGAGCCAGCAAGACCCCAATAGACACATGTACACTAGTATAAGAGAAAAATGCATACTTTTGAGAAGACCTAAGATTCATACAGATTCCTCACTTCTGATACTACCTCCAGACTATACCCACAAGACATAAAAGAACATAATTAATCCTCGACTTTAGGGTCAACAAACAAAGGCTCACTTGTTGTTGTTGTTGTTAGATGCCATCGAGTCAATACCAACCCATAGCAACCTTATGCACAGCAGAAGGAAACACTGCCCGATCCTGGGCCAACCTAAATACTGTTGCCACGCTTGAGTCCATCAATGCTGCCACTGGCCAATCCATCTCATTGGGGGTCTTCCTCTTTTTCTCTGACCCTCCACCTTACCAAACATGGTATCCTTCTCCAGTGACTGGTTCCACCTGACAATATGTCTGAAGTATGAGAGGCGAAGTTTGGCCATCTTGGCTTCCAAGGAGCACTCTGGCTGCACTTCTTCCAAAATGGAT